ATGACCTTTGAAAACCTTGACCATGGTGCCCAGCACATCACGCTAAAGATATGATCCTTAGGTAATGAAGACAATTGATTTGGGAGAGGGAAAATGGGGGGGGGGGGATATCTTTGAAAATTTCCTTTTTTGAAGCACAACATAGTAAATAGTGCAGTGGCCATTGTTCAAAAGTCAGCCTTTGCCAAGTATTACAATACAGTGATAGAAGAGGAATTTTAATGGAACCCCTCTATATGGAATCACAAGAAATATACATTTAAAGTATTTATACCTGACTGTTTCCGAAGGGTGTCGACACTCTCAGCGTTCTGAACAGGGATAGAGCAAAACCCAAGGTGTAAGCGAGCGAGCCCTTTGGAACCATAAAACACAGGGTCTGATTCCCCAGTGTGTTGTGGCAACACAAAGCTGACCTGAAGCCGGCTTAGCAGGCCGCTGGGTTTCCCCCAGCACAGCGGGGTGCTCTGGGAGTTGGCTGTGGGAAAGTGGGCATGGCCAGGGTGCCTCTGTGCCCCATGAGGGCTGTTGGAAGGGCCAGTTGGGCTCTCGGCAGGAAATATAAATTGGAGCGGCTTCAGGCCATCCTAATTAGTGCCAGGGACTGGGCTGGCATCCAGGCAGCCTCAGGAATGCAGGAGTGTAAAAAGGTGGTGTAAAGCTCCAGTTGCACCGAGTGCTCCTTGGCAGCAGCTCAGGACTAGCGCCACAGTCTCAAAATAATGGGGCTTGTGGGTGGTAATTCCACTCGTGGCCTGCTCTGCCGTCCTTGCTCTGGCAAAACTCCCAGCTCTGGATCCTTCACGAACACAAAGAGATGATGCACAAATGCAGCTTGTCACCGTAGCTGGGCCGCACAGTTCAATAAACAGTGATGCAATCTCCTCTGGTAACATCCCAATGCTTTTCAGTTCATTAATGCTTATGGTCTAGAATGATGCTGCCTTCCTGCTAAACTCAGAGGACTCCCACTGAAGTTTGGTTGGGACGTGTAACCTTGTGAATGCAAGATTGATGGCCTAGACCAGAGGATAGGGGAGTAGACTGGGATTCAGGAGACCTGGATGCTAGTCCCTCTGACCTGCTGTGTGACCTTGGGGAAGTCAGTTCAGATCTCTGTGCCTTTTTAAGGCCTGGTCCACACTACCCCCCCACTTCGGACTAAGGTACGCAAATTCAGCTACGTTAATAACGTAGCTGAATTCGAAGTACCTTAGTCCGAACTTACCGCGGGTCCAGACGCTGCAGGCAGGCTCCCCCGTCAATGCCGCGTACTCCTCTCGCCGAGCTGGAGTACCGGCGTCGACGGCGAGCACTTCCGGGATCGATCCGGGATCGATTTATCGCGTCTAAACCAGACGCGATAAATCAATCCCAGAACATCGATTGCCTGCCGCCGGACCCTCCGGTAAGTGTAGTAACTTCTCATTTCTTGTCTATTTCAATTGTAAGCCATTTGCAACATGGATTGTGTATGGGCGCTGCCCAGCACAATGTGGCCTTGATCTCAGATGAGGCCTCTAGACACCATTATAATACAAATAACAATAACCTGGGCCTATTTTTGATGCTTTGAAAAATTAAATTTATTTAGATAAGTAACAGTGGCTCCAGTATCATTAATTCTAAAAGTTAAAAGACAAAATGAAGATCTTTTACTGACTGTACCACAGAGAAAGTTTAGGGAATAAACAAATAATTTTTAAAAAATTCATCATTAAACTATCATCAAACGTTGTTCTCTACTTCAAAAAAAAAATTAGATTCTGAAATATTTAGTCACTTCTCACAATTTGCAAAGATGAATATTGCTTTTATTTCAGAGCAAACACTGATTATAAATCAGAACAGAGCCACCAAATTATCTAACTTAAGAACATTTAAAAAAAAGACATTGTTAAACAGGATCAAGCCAGACTTTCCTTCACAAAAGCATTAGGTATTATTTTTTTCAGCTCATAGGGTAGCGTCTTCTCACACAATCCCTACAAAAAGCTTATTGGTACACAGGTGCATTGTGGGTATCCTGTGAAGTATCAGATATCAGATTGATAGGCCAAATGCCGGATAACAAGCTGGCTGATTCTATGCCCGTCTGAGCTTGTCTGGCATCTGCTACCCTTCAGTGCTCTATTTGCTTTTCAAATGCAGATAATACAAATGTTTGCAAAACACGGCAAGCTCATCTTCACTGCTAGCAGATCAGGAATAGAATAAATGCTTTCCTTGGATAATATAGATTCACATGTTAGCACAGAGGGGCACCATTTAGTTCAAATGATGGCTATTAATGCCATGAAAAAAAATTTTTGGGGTGGGAGGGAATCTATACTAGTACTAAAAAAGAAAAATCTTATTAGCACTAATCACTTCTTAAAGCAAAGAAGTAGGATTTTTCCTCGTTTTATACTGTTTTATCAGATAATACTTGTGAATTAGTTTCTCCTTGTAGAGAGAATACTGGAATACAATAATGAAATGAAATTCTTCTGTCCTAATAGAGTTCAGAAGGGAATTAACGAAATTTTAGCCAAATACTGCTATAAGCAGTCACATTTAGATTCGTGCCTAGTGCCCCTTTGTGCATTTGGAAATCTCTTCCCTAATACTTTTAATAGTGACGCCCTCTCCCAACGCCTGATCCTAGAAATTGCTGAGCAACATCAACTCCCAAGGGAGCTTCAGAAGTTCAGGATCTCTGAAGATTAGGCCACATATTTAGGTGCCAACTGTGGATTTAAAAGCCTGACTTTACGCAGCTAGGTTTGGAAATTTTTGCCATTAAAACTGACACGTCCAAGACTAAATTCTTCACAGCCCTGCCCCTTGAGCTGCCATTTCTATCTGGGCAGAGGCATACTACTAACCAGTATATGCTACTAGTGTCAGCATTTTGCACTGACTTTGCAGAGGTGCAAACGACTGCACAAAGGTGCAAGGCAGACGTGAGAGCCGAAAGAAAAGGAAAACTACCCATACTATATAAATATAACTTTTGCTTTTTTTTTCAGTAATGTCCAGTTCTTTGCTATAATGCCTTTGTGATGCTACAGTGTACTGCACATACAGTCTCCTACATGCCAGTCTCCTACATGAAGATCAGCCTCAGAGAACTGACAAAACCTTGTTTCAACCGGATATTCCCTTTACCAGAGTCAGTCAAATAAAGGAAAACAATGTAAACCAAGAAGAGGTACAGTGTTTAGAGAAATGTATGTTTTCTTTCAGACATCAGCACCAACAATACTCAGAAATATGCATCAAGCTACAATGTACAGTTCTCTGAAAGAAATACAGCTTAACCAAAATTCCTAACTCCACAGCTATCACGCTACATTTACTAGGAGTCTGATCATGTATACGCATGAGCATCTTCAGCTCTCCCTGCAGTCAAAGGGGAGTGGAGGGTACTCAGACCCCACAGGATCAGGTCCTTAGTAAGGAAACAAACAGAAGGAGGAAAATAAGCTCCACAGCCTGCACATGGGTTTAGTTGGCAGCTTATGATGGATATTTCCCTTGCTAATGCTGCTCTCTCTCTCCCGGTCCAGTGAATGACTTTTTAAAACTAAAGTAACATTTAATGCTGTGCACACACATTTAAACGACAGAAGTAAAACTATATTTTAGAACTCATGGATAATAAATAGGTACTAGAAATCAAGTTCTTGCTAGAAGTATACTAGCAATGTGTGTGTGAATCTTCCAAAAAATAAAGCCCGATTTTATTTCTATATATCTGTATTCACGTAACTATGGATCTTGAGCTATGATTTAAAGGTGTAACACAATCTTGGTATACAAATGATTCTGTCACTTGCTTGATGTGTCCCCAGATTCCATAATGATGTCACAACTTTGTGATATATTGGAAGATGACAGCCAGGTCATTTGTACTAGAACAAAGAGCCATGAATGGTAAAACTCCTACTTCCCTAAAATAGGGGCAAGGTCTTCTATGACACATCTTCTTGTGACTTAAGGGCTTGATACACCTCCCATTTCAGTCAATAGGGGTCTTCCCATTGACTTGAATGGCAGCTGGATTGAACCCTAAGAGTTTAGACCAAGATTTTACAAAAGTGATTCTGAGAGCCTCAGTGTTTGGGTGCCAAACTTGAGACATTGTAAAGGGACCTGACTTTCAGACAATGCTGAAATCAGGTCCCTTTAAGGTATCTCCAAAGTGGGGCGGCCAAAATCACTAGTTGGCCTTTTGGAAAAATTTGGACTTAACTTTTATAAATTGGTTTAAAAAGCTGTCTTTTGAAGATGCTGTAACCATGTTTGTTTGTCTGTTTGGTAAATCCAGGAATTACTTCTAGCAATATCTACAGATCCAGTGTAAATTACTGTATATTGGAAAAATATCTATATTCTTTATATACCGCCCAGATGGGAAAATCTAAGAATGGTTCACAGGAAAATAACCTTTGTATGGTAACTATGAAAGAAAACATAGGCACTTCTGCTTCAAGAGTTACCAGTCTTTGATAAGAGCTCCCTTAATCCAAGCCAGACTTGTTAAGGAGAAAAATCCGTGGTAGCACAGGTCATCCGTTGCGTAGGAAATATAGTTCTCAAATGCATGTGTGTACATGAATCTGGCTTCATAAAATTGCCCCAGTTGACAATGGAAAGCAGGTGACAACCACGACAGAGACCTTCCATAACCCAAGTTCATGCTTTCCAAACATTGTGACAGAAGAAAGCTGCATCTTCCAGGAAGATCTTCCATCAAGTGATGCTGCTTGCTTTTCAGAAGTAGATTATCCATCAACCAAACAGAAAAGTGTCAAGTGCAATTTTCCCCCAGGAAATATTTACTCTCTCGCGCTTTCCACTTTTTAAATTATTATTTAATAGCAACTTACTTGCTTCACAATGTACTAAAGCTACTGACCTAGTGGGAATTTTATTTCTGGACCAGTTTAATGTGGTAGTTGTTGAGAAAAACCTGTGCTAAAAGGCACTATAATTAACTGATTTCCTCACTCTTGTAGCATTCTTGTATATGCAGCAATATAGTGTCTCAATAATAGACTATAATTAACACACATTTGGAAAAGAGCTCAATTTTTCTCAGTAGCAGCCGCTTCGATAAGGATCAAAGCGAGTCGCCAGCAGGCCATCATCTTTCTGCTTGCCTATAGAGGTCTGGCTACTGAAATAAGCTCCTTTAGTTCAATGCCCCCTTCGTGTACAACTGACTGAACAAACGGATGGGGTTAGAACATGGATGTCAGACTTGTTGATAGGAGTTAAGAGAGCCAAACTTTCTGGAAGCCTGAGTGAATGAAACAAAAGTGAAGTTTTCACAGTGGTCAAGTTTGACTTTTTTAGCCAGCTTTGGGACGACTCCCCTCAGGGAGCGGAGACCCATCCTTTGTTCCTCGTACCACACATTTCCCATGCCGCTAATCTCCTTCCGTGCAGTCAGATAGAAAGGAGACTTTGCTTCCATCTGGGTTGGGGGCCGGTGGATGTACATGTACTTATAAAGGAGGCAGTAGGGACACAGCTTGTGTCCTTTGGAGTGCTCGTGGTATATCTGGCCATAACACACTTTGTTAGAGCTCACCCTGTGTTCTCGTTTCACGCTGTCCGTTCGGGCAAAAAAGGGCCTGTTTTGTGAATCTTTGAGTAATTCAATGTCTCCGTACATTAAGTCTGCGTGCTCCTGCAAAGTCCTCATGTTGAGGTACTGGCTGTTATATTTCACCACAGTGGATAGCAGGGCTACCGGACTCTCATCACCCAAGCATCCTGTTCTCCACATCTCTTCTTCGTCGGACAGGGAAAAATAGACGATGTTGCGAGAGCGAGCGCCAGACATCCCAGCCTTGCTGAGCACCCGGAGTTTCTCCTTCAGCTTTTTGGTGGAGGATGTGAAGGTGCTGCTGGTGATGGAAAATCCCACCCCAGCATTCTTCAGAATCCGGTCCAGGCCTCGGCGGATAGCATGCAAAGACGTGGCTAGGAAGTCCGAACCATCCGTTTTCTTCACCGTAATGTAGAAGTCCTCAAGGAGTTCATTCAGCTTCGAGGCTGGAATCTGGAACAAGAGAAATGCATATGTCAGTGTTACTACATGCATGGGATAAAATTCTTTACTAGTGACAAGCCTGCACTGACAAGTTTGGATCTAGATCCAAATTTTCCCAAACCCCAGTGATGTTCACATCTAGGGCTTAGGCCTGTCCCATGACAGACATTGACCAGCAGCAGGGCGGGTGCAAGGATGTTTCACGCCCTAGGCGAAACTTCCACCTTGCGCCCCCCCATCCCCGAGCCCTGTGGCAGCTCTCCGCCTCCCCCTCCGCCCTGGGGCCCCCCCCGCCGCCGCCCCCCCCCCCCCCCCGGAGCCGCCCCCCCCCCCGCGGCAGCTCCCCCCGGCCCAGGGAGCTGTGCGGCAGCTCCCCGCCCCAGCTCACCTCTGCTCCACCTCTTCCCTGAGCACGCCGTAGCTGCTCCGCTTCTCCTGCTTCCCAGGCTTGCGGCGCCAATCAGCTGTTTGGCGCCGCAAGCCTGGGAGGGAGAGAAGCAGAGCGGGGCAGCGTGCTCAGGGGAGGAGGCAGTGCAGAGGTGAGCTGGGGTGGGGAGTTCCCCTGTGTGCCAACCCCCCCCTTACTTGCTGCAGGTGGCCCTCCCCGCACCCCCCCTGCCCCAGCTCCCTCCGCCTAAATGCCGATGACGACCGGGGAGGCCGAAGATCCGGCCGCCGCGGTCGCTGCCGAAGGACCCGAAATGGCGCCCCCCAAATGCTAGCACCCTAGGCGACCGCCTAGGTTGCCTAATGTGTTGCACTGGCCCTGACCAGCAGTGAACTTCGGTCTCAAATTTCTCCAAAGTATAGCACTTTTCAGATCCACGGTTGTGGTTCAGGTCCATTTCTATTCTATAGCTGTCATAGGTCAGCCTGCTTGTGGATAGTGAAAATGCTACTAAGTGGGAAGACCCAAGTTCCAGATCTTTTCACGCTCTACACAGAGGAAAGGTGCAAGATGCAACATGCTCCCATCTTCCCAACAAGAATGTAGTAACCTTGCAGTTTTGGAAGAAGGGTGCATATTTGCGTAACTACAAGGAGAATGCAATGTATATGGCTGCTGTACTGACAGGAATGGGAAATGTAGCTGTATGGAGAAAAGAAGGCAGCCTGGAATAAAAGAGTTGAGGTCCTTAGCCCTCCCCTGCTAGGACACTGCTTTGCAGAGATGAGGACCCCACTGGTATTAGGGGACCAGAATTAATGTAAGGCGAGAGAGCTGACACGTTCTGATGCTTAGGGTGGGGCCCCTTCCACTACAACACCAGAACCCCAACCCCCACCTTTTAAGAAACAGAGGGTGACATCCTGGCCCCACTGAAGTCAACGGGAGTTTTGCCATTGACTTCACTGGAATCAGGATTTCACCTAGTATGAATATAGTCTGATGCTTGGAGTACAGTGCATGCCTTATATTCTGTACTTTTCCCTGTTAAGCTCTAGCCAGGGAACCTTTCCATTCCTCCTTTTCACTGAGATATACTTACAGCCTCTATAAATCTCATAATTAAAGGAAAGCATTAAGTTGGTTATAATGAGATGCTTGCGATAACAGGAGGGATGGATGACAATATCGCCTTTGATTCCTAGAGCCTGAGAATTAAGAAGCATTCAGGGACCCTTTGTCTGTAATCACAAGCACTTATCTGGGCCATTTGTATGTCATACTTGTCCTGCAATCAGACTTTGTTAACCTGCCTGCATAGGTTTATTTCAGCGCTCTCATTTCTGCTTCTGGATTACAAACACATCTGTAAATTATGCAAACAGATGCAAGTCCAAGGGGCAACCGCCTTCTTAAAACGGACACCTTCGAAACTGAAAACAAAAATACTTCCTGACATTACAGGTTGTAGTGGGACACGCAGTCCTTGGCATTCTAGTGTTGTATCACATCCTTGGAAGTCGACTGACAGTCCTCAGATGCCCAGCATGCACTGTCATTAATCTCAACAGCACGAGAAACCCTTCCCTTCACCAGCAGGCAGCCTGATACACACAGCTTCTAGGATCTCCATTGCATCCGTTGTCAGGATGTCTCAACTCTGCACCCTCGTGTGCTGAGTGCTGGTATCTAACGTCCCTGTTACTGCTTTGGTCATAGAGTAGATTTTTATCACTGTTGCAGGGTTTTTTGTTTTTTTTCTGTATTACTTCAGACAAGACAAATTCTTAGGCTCCACTCTAGCAGAGTACATGCTTAACTTGAAACATCTCAGTAGAACTACAGACTTAAAGTTAAGCGCATGCTTAAGTGCTTGCTGGACTGGGGCCTTAGTGCCTGACCCCTAGAGAGAAATAAGGCCCCTTAGATAAAAAGCGTATTCTTTGGGCAAGGACATGAATATCCTGCCATCTCTGGGCTGCCAGCGCAGGGGGCGTGGCTGGGCAAAATGGGGTGTGGCCAGAACTCCTCTGTACCTAGCTTGTCCCTGGCTGCTGGGACAGCCCCATGGGGAAAGACGACTACAGACTTATTCTGGGGACTGGGCTGGTCCCTGGCTAATATTGGGATCATGGGAGCATAAAGAAGGTTTAAATCCTCACCTTTACCCATCCGTGGGTCAGCTTGACTTCACCAGAGGAGCGGTCTCAATGATTTAACAGTGCTTACCTTAGTGATGTCCATGTAGTCTTTAAGTCCTTTTGTCATGCACCAGTATCTCCACACGTTCAGAGCGTACAGAGTAGCCTTTGTAGTGTTTGGGCTCACAGCGCTGATACACAGGTACTTCAGGTCGTCGTCGAAATTAAAGACAGGAAATTTGTTGAGTTTAGTCGAGTATGCTAGAAAACAAACAAAGATAGGGATAAAAACAATGTAACCTTGCTGGACTCTTTAGTTACTCAGGTTTAGAGCAACTTGGAATTGTTTACATGGGCCCGAGTAGAAATATTGAGAAATGAAGTCACTGAAACGGTGAAGTCCCATGAAGCTATTAAAGCACTTTTATTGGAACTCTAGAATGTGGAATAGTATTTCCAGTACGGGATCAATACGGGGTCATCTTGAGGTTGCCCGAGAGTTAATTTTTTGTGTGCTAAATACAGTAAATGATACAGATGGAGCAATGCAGAACCTTTTACTGGGGAGGGGGGAGTGGAGGACTGGTGCAATGAGGGGAAAAAACAGTGGGAAGAAACATCAAGGGTTTGCCTTAATGAACTATCTAAGCTGTTAAAAAGAAACGCTCCATTGCATATTGGTCCTGATTCTGCACTGCCCGGCGCCTTGAGCAGTCAGACATACCTGTGCAAACTGGGTGTGAAACGCTACTCAGTCGGAATTCCCCACTCTCTCCCACCAAGGGGCTTTCTACCCGCTTTGCACTCAGTGCAGGAGCAGGCCCAGAGACGTAGTGGAGCCAACAGAGGCAGCTGTCAGAGATGGCGTGAGCTGATGTGAGGCCAGGATTACAGTGCTCGTTTCTTAAACTCTCCTCAGCAGCACAGGCGGGAACTGAATGGAGTGGATTGATGAAGGACCCTATTGTGGATATTTAGGCCCTTACTCTCTCTTATGAAAGAGTAATATATTTTTATGATACTAGTATACTTTTATTACATCCACTATATTTAAGTGTACTTTTTATGGGCCTGAAGACAGTTTATGTGGCAGCCCAGGCCATGTAAGCCCCAACAGGCTGCTTAAGTCATCGGTGCACCCAGTTGTCTGCTCTGCAGGACTGTCCGCCGGGGTGGCAGATGAAGGGGAGGGGAGCCACATCCCAGCAATGTGAGAACTCGTGGAAAGGGGCTCCCCTCAGAAGCAGCCCTATGTACCTCCCCAGGTCCCCTGCCCCCAACACTGCAGCCACAGAGGGTGCAGAAGTTACAGCAGCTCTAGGGTTCTGGGTTATTTGTTAGTCTATAAGGTGCCACAGGACTCTTTGTTGCTTTTTGGAGCTCTGGGGTTCTGGTAATCACTGCAGATCACCAGCAGCGTGGGAGGAGAGAGGAAGAGGAGGATCCCAGCCTCTTTAAATGACAATGAGATTGTCATATGGTGGGGAGGGGGTGTCACGAAGGGGCTTTCCCCTCCAGTTCTCATGGGGCAGCCTGAGGGTCCTCATCTCTGCTTCCACAATGCCCCATGCATTTTCTCCCCACTTATAAGTCATGCCTTCCTCCTGGCCCTAAAGAGGGGTTTCTCAAACTGGGGGTCGGGACTCCTCAGGGGGTCGGGAGGTTATTACATGGGGGGTCGCGAGCTGTCAGCCTCCACCCAAACCCCGCTTTGCATCCAGGATTTATAATGGCGTTAAATATATTAAAAAGTGTTTTTAATTTATAAGGGGGGGGTCGCACTCAGAGGCTTGCTGTGTGAAAGGGGTCACCAGTACAAAAGTTTGAAAACCACTGCCCTAAAGGGACGCTGGATGCTCAGTGCCTCCCCGCCATCATTTCCCAGTGCCTGATGACTATAGATGGCAACTGCGCTGTGACTCCGCTCCTGGGAATGGTGTGTAGTTGGGCTGGGGGCTTTATGCAGGGAGGTAAAAGTGTCATCCCCTCTCCAAACCACAGGCTCCAGCTAAGCATCTGGCTTGGATGCTGTTGGGACCAGGACTAGACTTTATAACACTCTTCATGCACTTCAAAAGCACCTCCACTCTCGTTCAAGTCAATGGTAAGCCCCAGCCGTTAGGCAATGCAAAATATGCAGTGTCTGCAGCCACTTCGGGAATGTCTGCACTGCAATGAAAGACCTGTGCCAGCGAGTCTCAGTGCCTGGGTCAATTGACTCATGCTTAGAGGGCTAAAAAGAGCTGTGTTGCTCGGGCTGCAGCCCGGGCTCTGAGACCCTCCTCACACCAGGCCTCCAGCCTGAGCCCGGATGTCTACCCTGCTATTTTTAGCCCTGGCACCCACGTTAATTGACCAGTATGGGCTTTGAGACTCACCGCCACGGGTCTTTTATTGCCATGTAGACGTACCCTTCGAAAGATCTTAAAAACTGACAAACCAGCCTCAAACCCTTTATACAATCAATGAGCGTTTGGAGGGTTTTTATGGGTAAGACTACAATGACTTTTACTCTTGCACAACATATGATGGAACCACCCGGGAACAAATAACTGCGTTTACTGACTATACACAGCATGCAAGGCCTACCTACATATACATGCTGTTTCTCGGCTTGGTTTCTAGCAGCTTCTAGAACACTGAGAGCATGGTAAGTGCCCCTAGAGAGCTTACAAACTATTTAAAGGGATACTACCCTCTTTCTATATACTACAACTATTAAATAAACATACAAAGGACTTCTAAAGACAGCTGACTATTCTCCTTTCAATCGGAAAGGCAATTGTCAGGCAGCATAGGATTCACTAGCAGCAAAAATGTTCACGGCAAACAATTCAGAAGGCATGACGTTCTCATGTTCCTCTGTTTGCAACCACATTTTTGCAAGGTTTGGCTGCCTAGTTACTGTCTCACTATTGCATGTGACATTGCTGCAGAAGAACATTTGGCACCAGCCAGGAGCATTGGCCCCCCTGGGTTACGATATCACAAGCTGAGGTGGGCTGGCCCTGGTATGTAACTGGATAGGAGATAGCTAAAGAAAATCCAGGCTACCGCAGGAAATGTTATGGGTAGCTAGCACTCTTCTCTTTGCAAGTCTGCCTGCAGTACTGAACAAAGCTGTGGCCACTGCTCACTGAGGAGATACCTGCTCGCCTTGTAAACCTTCTGCGTTCACACACCGAGGCCTTCCTAATGCTGCACAAGCATTGCCAGAGCTGCTACAATTGGCTCATCTCAAAGCAAGGCTTGATACTGTCCACACTGGTTCCTTTCTAACTGGTGCACATCTGGGACTTGATGCCCTGGCATGTTGGCGCTGCTCTGCATTGCTCCCTATAGTCAGGAGATCCAAGTCCTAGAGCCTTCCCTCCCGGTGCAAGGCAATCCCTGAGTAGTGTCTAGAGCCACAGTGGTAGCTCCTATGCCATCCCCAGCTGCTGGTGCGGAGACCGTGCCTGGGGCATCTCTCATGCCCATTGCACTATCAATGCAAATTAGAACAGCTGTCAGAGCAGCCCCAGCCCCCTGTGTGGCCCCTCTCCTCAGCTGCATTGATCACGTCTCCGGTCAAGCAGGGAAGGGAACTGCAGGCATCACAGCTGCACTCTTCCAGTGGGTCCTCTTGGATGAGTCCCCCATTGTGTTAGCTCACCTTCCAGTGACTACAGTAGGCAAAGGTCCCTCGGTACTTTGTGCCCCCACAGGCAAGCCCTTGCCCTGTATTTGATGCCTTCTACTTGCCTGAAGCAATTGCTGAGCACACCTAATCAACAGTGTCCGCTTCGTGCCAAATTTATGTACAAGCCACCTGCCCCCCTCTGCTTTCCCAGAGTGCCTGCTGTGAAGACATCTTCCGGCTGGACTTGATGACCCTTCGAGGTGCCTGCCAGCCCTACGTTTCTAGGATTCTGTCACACGGCCAGCTGGCCCCAGGGCTATCACTGGGAGCAGCAATCACTGTCCTTTTGAAAACCAGGCCACTTCTGGTTATGAGCCTCAATATGGGGGGAAGAGTTTCAAAAGTGCCCAAGGGATTTAGGAGCACCGCTGTCAGTGGGACTTGTGCTCCTAATAGCCATAGATGCTTTTGAAAAAAATCCACAGAGGAGCCTAATGTTAGACACACAGATTTGAAAATTGTGGACTACATTTTTGAGACACAGCATCACCAGTGCAGCTTCCTTGAGCCCCAGCACAAGGCAGACGTCTCTGAGGTCCAGGATATAATCTGACAGGTGGTTAAGCACTGGTGGTGCCCAAACTTTTCCAAAGTTCCAGGGTGTTCAAGACATCGAGGTTTGGTTCAGGCTTGTCTCTAATATTTGATTACTATTTATTTGTATTGCGGTAGCAACTCAGAGCCCCAGTCAGCCCCCACTGTGCTAGGCACTGAACAAGCTGTTTTGCGATACTTCGGATGAAACACTCAACACTTGTAAGATGTTGCTCATATCAAATAAAAATCCTCATAACTCTTTTATTCTACACACAACTCCCCGCTCTCTCCCACCTTTTTCTTTCGATTGAAGAGACCATATAACTCAGCTTACGTTGTTACTAAAGCTTGAGAACCAGACTAGCTGATTCACAAATTGATAGTTACCATGATCACCAAGGGTAGCTCAGGTATACACAGAAGAAGAGATTATTTTTAACAAAACAAAGCTGAAGTAATCAGATGGTAACGAGGAAGGCAGGTTGCCATCTGGATCAGTGTGTCAGATAAAAGTATGGGAACAGGAGCCACCAAATATTCAGTTATCTGGGCAACAGATCATTTTTGTTGTAAATCTATTCTATATTTGCATTCTAATCTCCTGCGTTCCAGGAGAAAGCAGTTTAATCCACTAATTCTAGCAATCCGTACTATCTAACACAGCAAGGCAGCACTGAAAAGGACTAGCACCTTGATCCAACACCACACTCAAACACACACTTCATTTTAAGTATGTGAGCGTTCCCATCCCTGGTCATCATGAGCCTATCCAAAGCCCATTAAAGTTAATGAAAAGATTTCCATTGATTTCCATGGCTTTGGATGAAGCCCCAAGACACTTAAGCATGTTTTTAACTTTAAGCACATGCTTAAATCCCAACAAAGTCATTACAACTAAGCATGTGCTTAAGTGCTTTTTAGAACCGGGCCTAAATCAGAGATGCCCAAGGCTGCCAGGAGACAGTGTCATTTGCATTTTTCGTCTGTGTAGTGTGTGCCAAATCCTCCTTGCTTTTATCATCCCCAAATCCCATTAACTTCA